TTAAAATTGTACTTTCCCTAAAAATGAAAAATATGCTTTTCCTTTTTGGTCAAAAGGGGAAAATGTCATCACTCAAAGGAAAGTAAAAATTTTCCTTTTGCTTTTAAACTTGAAAGAGTAAATGAGGAATTTGACCAATATATATATATATAAAAGGATAGTCGAATCGGTGCATCCGATTGTATCCCATAAAGAAAATTAGAAATCAGTCAAGTTTATCATGTTGAACTTACCTAGTACAATTTACATATGTGATTTGCGAGCTATTATACATAACTAAGGTGCACCAAAAAATAGCATTTGTAGTTTCTTTTGGGTGTCCTATTTTATTCAATTACTTTACAAGATTGTTAAGGATGTGTGAACTACTATAACAATAATATTATATAAGAAGTATTTGAAAAGGGTTGTGTATACGTAATATTACTTTTAATTTTAAAAGGTAGATAGTGTATTTCTGATAGACCCTCAACTAAAGTAAATAATTTGAGATATACAATAATAATAACAATAGCATATCAGTCCAATCCCATAAGTAGAGTCTTAAAAGAGTAACGTGTACACAACTTTACCCATATTTTAAAAAGATAAATAGATTATTTTTAATGTTAGAAAAATGATTAGTCAACTAATAAATGATGTTAATATTCAGTGAGTTCAACAAACATTGAATTGATTTTGTCCAAATTTAGAATTGGTCAAATGTCATAATGTTTTAAGTAACAAAATGATCTTTAATCCAAAAAGGGAAAATGAGTTGATAAGAATTTCCCTATAAGAAAAAAAGAAAGATCTTTAAACCAAAAGAGGAAAATAATTTTAATTTTCAACCCACTATAAATATGTATGAAAAAAAAGTTTCAGAAAAGAACTCAAAATTATTTGAGAAAAAAATGATGTCCATCACTAAGCATTTGATTTTCTTCACTTTACTTATTTTTGTCATCTTTCCTGCTCATGAATGTAAGTATGATTAAAAAAAGTTAATTCTTCATTATGCCTTTGAAATTAGAATTAGCTATGAATTTCGTTATTAAATTGCTAGCTAGTTGCAGACATAATTATGTTATGATAATATGTCGCTAAATAGGATTAGCAACAAACTTTACCGTTTAGCCACAAAAATTTTCTCATGCTAATTCCTGTCTTTCTAGTAGGGTTGCCTAATATATAGCAAGATAAAATTAGTGTTTCATTTTATTTTTTCACTCGATATTTGATATTAGTATTGTAGCTCTCATCAGGCCCATTAAAAGGAACAAATAACAATACTCCTTACTAGACTTATTTCATATTTATATATACAAAGTTAAATCTTTTGGCTTATTGATTTCTTTACTTCTTTATATTTTGAGTTTTTTAAATGAAAATTTCAATTCCACCACCAATAACCTAATTAAAGCTCGAACCCATTTCCGATTGAGATTAGTAGAGGAATTTTGTTTGTCTCACCATAATCCTCGATAGTAAATAAAATGAAATTAACTCTAATTTAATTATGTTGGCTTGTTTTTTTATTTGTCTCTCATCTTAATAATCATTTTTTTTGTTTTAATTAATTTTATCTTATATTTTAATGTAGGTGAAGAAGTATTTGATAAATTGAGTATCAAATATGGGAGAAAAGATGGGAGACTTATTAATCTTGGCAAGTGTTTCCAATTCACAATTAACCAATGGTGTTGTGATTCAACTACACCAGTAAAGTGTTATGATTCAATGGATCATTGCAAACAAAATTGTCCCCCATGGCCTACTACTCATAATTAGGATTAATTAATTAACAAATCCTCTTCAAGAGTTTTGTTAAACATCTTATGAAGCTTCATATATGAAATAAATAAGTTCTTGAGTTATTGCATAATTTCATTTTTGGTTCTTGTGCTATTCGATTAAGTATATTTAGCTTTTAATTAATCAATTGTTTTGTATTGATCCCTAAACTAATCGTACTAACGAAATTAAATAAAACTTGATAGAATTTTTAAGTGAAAAATTGAAAAACTTTGTCATACCATTTAGGCATAAAATTGTCCATATGGAAGCATACGAGAGCTAACGTTAGCGGAAGATTCTAGAGTTATGAAGAGATTTTGAGAAGACTCTAGAATATCCAAGAGAGTTCTTGGAAGGCCTAGAAGACTCTAGGCCTCTATAGAATTTTAGAAGTAGGGGGCGTATTTGTAAATATGTATGGACTTGTGTTACAATTTTTATTTACATCTTAACCCCTAGGTGTGTACTATAAATAGAGGAGCATTTATTTGTAACTCAACCAAAAAGAAGCAAACAAATTTTCAAGCAATACAAAAACCTTCTTACAAATTTTCTTGTGTCTTTCTTCATTCTCTTAGCGGTCTAATTCGAAGAAACTTATTAGAGCTTACAAAATTGTGAAAGAATCGTGAGAATCATGGTAAAGTGATATCCCGTTAAAATCTCTTCGAAGCTTTCCCCCTAAATAAACAAATAATATGAAGTTGCACACCATTGTGTTGTCATTTTGCCAAAAGAAACATACACAACCTTTTTAATGACATATACATATACCTCTTGTATAAAAATGATCTCGGAAATTCATTATCTCGTCTAATAAGATATTTTGTGATTTAAGATCAACCACACAACCGCACATGCATGTGTACGTCAAATGTAACACATATGTTGTTGATTTTTTTGATCTAACTCAAATTTAAATGTGGAGCAAAGAAAATACAACAGGTAAGCAAACAAACATTCATAAAGTCTAGACAACATAAATCATGTAAGAAATACCTTTCATTCTGTGTACAAACTTCCTCATGATATCCATTTCATAACAAAGAAACACGTTTTTGTATTGATGAGTTCTGCAGTACTTTTATGATGTTCTCATATGATGTGTTTACCAAAACATTCACGTTGCTCTGCACAAAGAAATTTTCACTTTGATATTACTGTAGCCACTTAAAGATACAAAAGAAATTATTGTATTACCATGTTTCTGTCCGTTGACAACCCTTTGGAAACTTTAAATGTGCAACCATTGATGTTCAAGCCCAAACACTTTGTACACATCTCATTGAGATCCCGAAACTTGGACTCCTTTTGTTTCTTCTGTGAAAGTTATAATTAACAATCCCGGATTTTGAACGAGTGTGACAGTAAAATTTAGGGCTAATCAAAATTTAGAGTTATTAGTACGAGTATAATATTCTATGTAGCTAACAGATAGAGTATAAAAATAAAATGGGTATTACAATAAAGTTAAAGAACTCAATCAAAATGTTAAGTTTATCTTCACATTACAATGGGTATTACCTTTGAAAAAGCTGATAGTATGGCGATTCTTTAAGAAAAAATTCACAAACACGCTTAATGTGGAGGAATGTTGAAAAAAAGAAGAAGAGTAAATCGCTCATTAGGCAGCGAGAAAAAAGAAGAGAAAATCGCGGATCGTGTAGTGAGATGATAATTTTTATTTAAAAAAAAAAACGTCGTTTAACAATAGTTAAATCACAATGAAATATCCCTTTTGGTTAAACCAAAATTTAAATGGCCCTTTATACATTTTAAAGGAAAAAAATGGCCCTTTTATGTCCAAACTCCACAATAAAGGGTCTAAACTTGAGTCACAACACCATTTGTTTATTGTGTACTGGAAACACTTGCCAAGATCAATAAGTCTACCATCTTTGATACTCAATTTAAAATATAAGAAAAGTGATTATTAAGATGAGAGACAGAAAATAAACAAACCAATTAAATCGGAGTTAATTTCGTTTTAATTACTATAAAAAATTATGGTGAGATAGTTCAGTCGTGTTATTAAAGACACCTCGTTGCGTGATTTTGGAAATCATGGAGTTACTCTTTGATACTATACTTCCCCGTCCAACAAGAGTTGCCCACTATACTAAAAATAGTTGTCCAACAATATTTGTCCAATTTAGAAAATTAAAACATAATTTACCTTTTATGTCTATTTTACCCTTACTATTAAATATTATTTATCATCCAATACATTTTTCAAAGCATTAAATTTAATAAAGTCAAAGGATAATATAACAATATTACTCTATTATTTATTGATTCTTAAGGGGTGTGCTAAGTCGATAGGACAACTATTGTTAGACAGAGGGAGTATTTAATTTGGGGATGACACAATGAAAATTTCAAAATTTAAAACTTGACTTGGCTAATGTCATCTAGCACCTCCTTTCCATCTATTCTAACCTTTCTAGACAGATTTATCAAATACTTATTATTGGCGGGGTGGCAAACAGTGGCAGACCCAGAATTTTCGTTCAGGGGGTTCGAAAAATAAAAGTATAAACGTGTAAATAAGCCAACAAAAAAAAATTTCAAGGAAGTAGTAGTATATAGTTTATAGGTACAAAAAGTTAGTTTCATTACAAGAAATCCGAAACTAACATAAGTGATTACAGTGAAACAAAAAGTTAGCCCTTTAAAATATGTCAAATCAACAATAGAATATTATGGGAGATGATTTTAATATTTGAGTTTTGAGTGTTGGGGAAGAACAAGAAAGTGATTCAGAGATTTGGAAAGTGAAAAAGTTATTAGCGAATGGGAGTATGGGACCTTTGAATTTTTTGGGTTTAACACCACATTTTAGCACTTTTATTTTTTTAAAAAAACTAAAACAAACATGAAAATCTGAACTGGAACTAAAAAGAAAAAAAAAACTGAAAGTAAAAAACTAAAAAAAAAAACGCTAACCTGGGGATTCGATCCCTGGACGTCAGGTTTAATATTGAAGGGAGCAGCCGCTGGGCTATCTCCTTCATTGAGGGGGTTCAAAATATATATATCCACATAAATCCAGAAAATTCACCTTATATATACAGTGTAATTTTTTATCGAGGGGGTTCGGGTTCACCCCCTAGACATCACGTGGGTCTGCCCCTGGTGGCAAATATCCCGTGAAATAAGCCGAGATGTGTGCAAGCTAGCCCGAGAACCACAATTTGTATTAAAAAAAAAGAGAGAGATAAAAGTAGAGGATATCTTCAATAGTTAGCTTTACTGATTTAGAACATCTTCATAGGGTGGTATATTCAGTCAAATACATTCTTCTCTACAAGTACCTTAGAGTTCAGTTCATACAAGTGAAAGCAGCTAAGAGGCTAGTGCTTATTCTATTCTGCCTCATTTTCATCTCTTTTTCGTTTCTTCATCCTCGCTTGCATCAATTTCAAAGCATATACAACGTCCTTCATAGTTGGCCTCTTGTCTGGATGATCGAGATTCAAGCAGAGGAATGCCAGAAGTGTGATCTCAAATGCATTTGAATAATCAACTTCTTCGAAGCACTCATGAACCAAATATCTTTCACCACGTTTAGCCTCATCTATAACAATCCAATCCAGCTGATAAGGACCTCGACAGATAAACTCATTCTTGGCTATCAGCTTTAGCAGTAGAACGCCAAATATATAAACATCAGATTTCATTGATCGTTTACCTGTATCCATCCAGAAAATATAAGTACAGAACTGCATTTAGTAGAGAAATTACAACAATAACAGCATACCCAATGTAATCCCACGAGTGGGGTATAAGGGAGGATAGAGTGTAAGCAGACATTACGCCTACTCCGAGGAGGTAGAGAGGTTGTTTATGATAAACCTTCGGCTCAAGTAAATCAGTTCAATATGTAAAAAATACTATGCCATATATAACAACAAATATGATGAAAATTCTCCACAAAGGGAAAGCTCAAGGAGCCATAATTCTTAATTTGGACGTATCCACACTAGCTCTTTCCTGTCTCAGCCAAATACATAAAAATATGAGGGTCATTGCACCTCACTAGCTCTTAAGTTATCTCGTTGTATCTAAACCAGTGAGACATCAAAGTTCGACGTATACATTCTTATTCCCCACCTCCAGGTGAAGGTCAAGAAAAATCATCAAATGAATGAGATGTCCAAAGGAGGGCTCAATTAATAGAAATCACAGAAGAAAGTAGTATCTTTTGGCATCAGAAATCAATAATGCACAAAAGCAGGTACAAGAAAATAGCAAAGAATGGAAGATGGCCTCTCTTTTTCCCTCTTGGAAACATGTTCACAGTTTCTTTTCTTTTTTCCCAACGACCTCCCTATCAGACCCTCCAAGTCCATTTTCAGTCCTAACAAACATATCGTAATATTCTTCTTTAGTAACTTACTTTTCCGATAGTGGGTTTCTGTTTCTTCACATGTGCAGCATCTCTTTAAATCCTCTACTATTTGATTGATATCCCCTGTGCTTCTTCAGCTTCTCCAACGAGAGGCAACTGTTTGACTTGGAGAGTAACTTATGCCTAGGATACAGTGACTGGACACGTAAGACAAGCTATCAGTCGGATACTGAAGACACAAGTTCAGAAAATTCTCAGTGATACAGATTGGTCAAAAGAAGGAAGAGCTTTATCACTCGGATAAGTGGCAGCACAAACATTTTGGCTTCAGATATGATTTCGGCTTTGATTATTCCCACGGGCTATTGAGGCTTAAGGAAATCAATCAATCCCTAATTACAATAGAAGCAAATTACGCTACCTACTATACATACATATATTCTAGAATATTCACAATGATTCTAATACTCCCCTCAAGCTGGTGCATAAAAATTCTATGTACCAAGCTTGCTACATATATAACTTGTACTCCGGCTAGGGACTTTTCATGGCTAGTCATTTGACTATTTGGGTTTATCTCAATCATATAGGTCTTCTATCATAGTTTCATAACTAACCATGGTCTCTATCTGGCATATATTCCAATTAGAGAATAACAAAGAGAAGAACGCAAAGAAATGGAAAAAAGTTGTGAGTTTTAATTGATGAAACCTAGACCTCAAACAAACATTGTTGCATCATGTAATACAGAGAAAACTATACGAAAAAACTTAAATCTAGAGCATGAAATTATCAGAGGTCAGAGCAAACATGCCTTCCCAAATCTCTGGAGCATCCGAGCCAACACGAACTTTTACAGGAATATTAGTATCTTCGTTCACATGATTTGATACGTACCCAAAGTCAAATACTTTTATGTTTACTTCCTGCAAATCAAACCAATGTGATAATAACACATGAAAATCTTGAGATATCTAAAGGATATAAAAGTCAAGACGACAACCAACTGTTCATCAAACTCACCTCATCTATCATAATGCATGAAGCAGTAACACAACCAACTGCAGTCCCCTTATCATGCAACCATGAGAAGAGATCTGCAAGTTGGGTTGCCACTTTCATCCGATCATTCCACCCAAAGTCATCTGAGACGAGAAAAAGAAAATATAAAGAATGTGCTAAAAAGCACACAAAAGTCGGAGAGAAGCACACAATAGTACCCGATAGAAGCACATCCGACAACAGTACACTGGTGAATTTTGCATCGTAGACAACTGCAAGCCTTGTATCAAAACAATACCTATACAACTTCACCAAATTTGGATGTGTATTTGCTCTTTCATCTGTTAATAACTCAATCTCATCCTACACAAAAGAACCTCTGACATCATTTAACCAACAAAAAAATCAGACAAGAAATAAAATTCAGACCTATCTCACAAACATACACAAAATTTATCTAGACGTGGAGCATTCCCAGGTTTCATAGGAAGGAGATAATCCCATGTCTTTACAATAGCCGGTCTTGTTACAGATCCTTCAACAATAATGCCATGGAACAGTCTTCCTGTAAAAGTTTTTTGAATTTCTGCAGGATTCTTGAAATTAGTCATCTTGTCCAACTCGGAGTAGCTGCAATGCTTCGCCTCACCAACCATTGTAGGCTCAATGGAGAAGTCGAAGCTGCATTTGGCAACCAGAGAAGATCAGTGAAACAAGAAATAATAATACCGCGGATGTCTAGCTTGTGAAATGGGACATCTCAAGGTCAGGGAGAAATTTGGAGCAGGTACCATTTAATCCCAATCAAAAGGTACCAAGGTCATCAGTGCTTGAACCAATTGTGGTTTAGTGAGAAAGGTGCAAACAAAAAACGAAAACATATGATGCAAGAAAAATAACTATAATTGTATGAGATAGGAATTAATAGAACTGCATCTAATTGAAAGAAGAGAGAAATTGACATAAACAACAACATACCCAGAGAAGTCCCACAAGTGGGGTCTGGGTAGAGTAGAGTGTACACAGACCTCAACACTAGCTCACGAGACTTTCCGAAAGACATGGGCTCAAGTGCAAGGAACAATAACAACAACAAAATAGTGTGATAATCAAACACAACAAACAATTTGTCCAATACGAGACCTTCCTATCTAAAGTCAGTCAGTCATGTGTTAGTATATAATCACACCTCTCCCCCATCTAAAGTCATGAATGTTAGTATATAATCACACCTCTCCCCGATACTAGACAAAAGCAATAACACCAGAACCCTATATTCCATACCAATACTTGAAACTCAATCAAATATTCATCAATAAAACCTAAAAAGAGATGAAAATCATTCAAACCCTTGGTAACGCTTGCATTCTTCATAAAAACCATCATCATCGTCCATTAAAACTTCACGGCTGGAACTCATGGACAAAGGGTAAGGCAAACGGGAAATATCTCTAAATCCCTCGTGTAAGTTGTACATTTGGTACTGATACGGCCAACACCCCCATTCTGAAAACTTCTTTCGGATTGCCTCAATTGACACACTCTTCTTCTCCTCGTTTCTCATCCCAACGTCTGTCGCCATAACCGCCGTCGGCCCGTCGTCGTTGGGT